AATTTAAAGAAAATATTATCCCGCAAGTGTCGTTAGCTACTTTGCTTGCAAAATTCAATGGTATTACGGAGAAAGAATATAAAACTCATCGAGATTCAACTATGCGTCGGTTTGAGCTTCGTCGACTTCCTTTATACTTAGTCCTGTATATGAAAAGATTTGTTAGAAATATTTTTACTTTGGAGAAAAATCCAACAATAGTTAATTTCCCAATCAAAAGTATTGATTTTGGAGATCTTTTAGCTCCTGAATTTCGAGCTAAACATAGGTAAGTCTTACTACTTTTATTGCTCAGTAGTGTGCTATTCAGAAGTGAATTACTTTGAAAGAATAATAACTTGAAAGTAAAGTTTTCGAAATAGAATATTGAAAAGTGGTGAATCACCTCAGATAATGTGGATGGATTTTGATCAATATTTAGTGCTATTGATAGGTTTGAGACAAAAAGAACATACACCTATGTACCTGGCTGAAAAATGTCCACTCAAGCCGAGGGTTTCCTGTTCATTGATTTATTCCGGTATCTAGTGTTATGTGAATATTTTCGCGTATAATTTGTCTGGATGTGTATATCTAAATACGTTTTTCTAGGAAGTCAGATTTAAGAACTTATTACTTTTCTCACACTATCAAGTTGTTCATTTATAGTGATATCTAAGCTAGTTGGTTATACTAAAGTCTACCCACACCATATACATGGTAGGAATTCGTGTGGCAAGTTACATAAAACGCAGAAGATTCATTGAAGAAATAAATCGTTTCAAAAGGTGAGAAATGAATTGAACGCTCTAGAAAAGTGTGAGATCAAGACTTTTCTGTACAAAAGTTAAGTGAAATGCATTTGATTTCCTTTCTGGTTGTAAGACCATATTTATTCAGACTCGTCATAATCTTAAGTCAAGTGAATAATTCTACTGCTGTTTTGTATAAATGTACAACTAACGCAGCGTGTACTACTGAGACTTGCTGTCTAATTTGACAAAAGCTGTCGGATTGTGTCCACGATCATCAAGGTTAGAGTACAAATCTAAAATATTTTCTGACTTTCGACTCCAAATATGATTGGAAACAGGCTGACTGACTTTACAGCGTAAAACTGCATGAAATTGCACTGGTTTAACTTTTCACACATGAGAAGACCAGACCCCTAGTTTAAATATACAAAGTGAACTAGTTGACCGTCTTAGTTACTTCACTTATTTAGGAATTTGTATCAGCCTCAATGAACTGATTGCTGATAAAATGTTAGCTCGAATACAGAAGATTCATCCGGAATTTACCAACTTACGGCCGGTGATCAAAGTAAAAGTGTACTGCACAGCATCATCATGGGATTAGGTTAGAAAAAAGATAGCGATCGTCAGTCGGAAACATGATATCAACCCACAGTGTTTTACAGTTGGTTTGAGCCATATGGGTGATCGACCAATTTAGTCAGAGGATATCGGTTGCGTTACTACAACAGGTAAGCCCTATGACGTCCACAGTAGGTGACTAGATGAGCACGTAAAAACCCATTTCTTTAGCAAAACAGAACATGTTGTTCGGATCCAGTTACGGAGAATAGTTTTGTCTTGTACCAAGTTGTGTGGTATAGAAGCTAGTGATGCTTTCTTGTTGCTCAGGCTGAAGTAAGTGGAGTGGGATCCGAACGTGAGACACATACTTGAAAGTTAGCTGCTTGAACCAATAAGCCTTATCAGCAAAATGGAACATAAGTATCCATGAGTTCATACATATGCTTGACCTATTTCAAAGTACTTAATGCTGGTCCCAATATGGATATGATTTTTAAAGTTAATTAAAAATTGTCTTTTTCTGTAGCAATTTCGTTCCACTCATGACTTCGTTTAGAATGTTAACTTTTTCTAATTCTTATAATAACTGGTATGAGCAGGTATACTACGTACGATCTGGTAGCTAATGTTGTGCACGATGGTCCTCCAACTCCTGGTTCTGGAACTCACCGTATCCACTTGTTACATCGTGGTACTGGAAAATGGTTCGAACTACAGGATTTACACGTGACTGAAGTTCTGCCACAAATGATACCACTCAGTGAGACACTTATTCAGGTAAACAAAAGTTACTTTATGTCCTTCATGCAATTATTTTCAAACTTTAGTCAGTATTAATCGCTAATTTTTCCTGATTATAACATGGTTTTTTTTTCCTTCACGTTCCCCAGTGGAACATAGGGCTTCAAGCTAGGGGCTTGAAGTTTCTGTTGCAGCGTTTAATTTTACAGGATGGGGTTGCTAGCCTCATGCCCAACCTTTCCTCTTCACCAGCATTATTTCTGGAATAGCCATGTAAAGGAGTGCGTCGGCCGGGAGTCGAACCCCGGACCATGTACATAGTAGGCGAGCGTCCTAACCGCTTTGCCATCGACGCACGATTATAACATATATTAACCTTATTTCTTTGCACACATGCGTATTCGTACTTAATAGTTTGTTTTTCTTTCCCGTATCCACTAGGTCTGGGCTGTAAATAAATCTATAGTTAATCCACACTTTAAGGAGCCTACAAAGTTACCAGATGAGAGTACTAAAGAAAAGGTTGAAACAGAAGACACTAAGATGGAAGAAGCAATTCCGAGTGAAGATGTCAAAGAAGCCGAGACTATGGAAACAGACTCCGAAACACATGAATAATTTGTAATATACCTTTTGTGCTGTTTTCGACAATAGTAATCAACGGTATGATTAACGAAATCGACACAACTTTGAGAGGTTTTGCTGTTGATATGGCCTATGTGATCTTAAAATAAATTCTTCCGAAAAAGTATGCAGTTTTCAACTACCTTGAATTCCACTAAAGAAACCGTTAAATGTGGTCAAAAGGAAAATGTTCCACTTAATTTGATGCAACGGGCATTGTTGTCATAAATTCTAATACTAGTGGTTAACAGTTGTTGTTGCAGCAAGATTCCGGCAGCACTAGGAGTCGTTAATCCATCATAATACAGGTATAAGACGAACGAGGGTATGTAAGACTGAGACATAACCGGGGATTTTTATCAGACTTTATAAAAAAAGACTTTTCAGGGCGCAATCTAAGCGTAAGTTTCACAAAAAGCTGCAGTTATTCACCCTAACCGCCATTAGCGACTCTTCGGTGTAAAACTGTTTAAGATTACTCTGCACTTTGGTGTAGATGGTGGCTAGATTTGCAGAGAGATTTATTCAACCGCTTCCACTGATTTCCTTTACTAATAATTTTGTGCTTAGTCTCCTTATCGTTAATACCCTTATTCTACCATACACAGGCTTGCTACGTACCCAAATATTGTTAATTTCACCTATCCTCTGCCAAACACTGCAAATAAAAGGTTTGCCTGTGGCACAACAGTTTAGTGACTTGACCGCGTATAAAGCTAGCAAGAAAACCCTTCTATAGGATTCGTTAAGCGAACTTATACCTTGATAAGTGCCTATTCCACTACCGCGTACTGTAAAACCCTTTCAGATTTTACAAAGAAATTAGGTCTCATAGACTAATGTACTGATTAACAGCAAGTTGCGAGTCAATCGGATTAAAGAATCAGCCTACAAATTTTTGCAGGTACACAATAGCTCAAATTGTCATACTTACAAGTAAAACATAGGATATGAGAGGAGAATCAATGAACCGTTGCGAACAAACATATGCAGAAGAGAGAATGATGAAAAGTCTCAGGATCTGGGGCATGGTAAAGGGTGATTACGTCTGTGCCACTGTGAACGATTTCGAAGCACCTCTCATTTTCAATTACTGACTCCTAGTGTAACGGCAGAAGACAAGGGTCAGGATACAGGTCGTTTATTAAGAAAATCAAGTATTTATTAATTTTCACGTACATCATCGCTAGCGGAGAAGCAACCTCTTCTGATTGGTTGTTTTCTTGCTGGAGATTATTCTGTTTTCTCTGTGGCCGTTTCTCAGGAAATCAAGCCATGTATCTGCGAATCATATTTCCACACGTGAACTCCGCCTTGTTATTGTTTTTCTCATGACTGATTCGGGACGTGAATTGTCTACAATTTTGGCTTGCAACCAGCTCTCACCACACTAGTACCTCGAAGAGCTCAAATAACCTATACCTTACAACTATTTGTGACTTCGTGACGACATATTTTAATTCAACAACATTCTAACTCTTTTTCAGCCTTGTCGAGAAAGACAGTGATTGGACAGATCCAGATCACCATAGACAATGATGATTCACAACCTTCTCGATTGGATTGCGTTCACATGCAATACTATAAGCTTAATTTCAAAACCGCTTACTATATTGCTCCATCTAACGCGAGCGGTCGAACGAAAGCGTTGGTGGTCGAAGACCTCTGTGGTCACGTATGACAGTCGGAAAGAATTGTTGCGCTCCATACTCTTTTTAACGAGTTACTGCACATAGCACCAGCGTCGAAGGTGATGCATTTCTTTAAATGCCAAACCAGCGTTTTTCACATGTGCTCAGACATCAGTATTGACCCAAATTCCTAAATAAATGAATATGTTGACACATTTAAGCATTTCACTCACTTTTCTTAAACAAGGGATCGGTACAGACCAGTTATATAAGATAACTTTACTGAGGCGAACTGCATACCAGATATACGGAGTCAACAAAATCTAGCTCTGGCGGCAAGTCCTTTTCGCAAAAAGTTGAGGTTAATTAAACTGACCTCTATTGGTACATCCATAACAAAATGAGAGGAGAATCTGTAATATATTATAAGTAGATTTTAAAAAATGGACAATCTAATTAGTTTTCAGGAATATGCATAATTTAGTTAGATTGATTAAGGAAAAATCCATATCACTTATGAAGTAATGCAAAACCAAGATAATATTTGTCATGGAAAAAATGATAATAAATAAATGGAATGTATAAATAACTGGTCATAATATAAGTAAATGCACGAAGTCACTCAAAGTATATTGCACTTCACTACAGAGATGTTAATGTATTTAGTGAGATCTACTGTTCGACTGCACTGAAGGAGGATTCTTTTTCAGTTGTAGAAGGAGCACGCGCATTCTGTTAAGATCTCGTTGACTGTCTTTTGAATTTATAGGGACAGTTGTAGTCTCTTCATTTGTAGAAGTAACAAAGTTGCACAACTGACAAACTCTATCCCACAAAATAGCTTGACCAGCATCGACTTGTGACATCATAGTTGATGCTTCTGCAGCTTTTACTTGGGCATCGCGAAGTTCTTTGTCATGAGCACGACTGAGTTTTCTTCCTCGGGAAAGAGAATCGCGGTACTGGAGTGCCCACTCGTGTAAATCCTTTGAATAAAAATAGTAAATTATTCATAGCGATTTATGGAAATCAGTACTCGGTAAAACGTTTATCAGTATATTAAAAAGTTACTTGAAATAAAGTGGTAAACACTGGTGGCTACTGTGTGAATAAAATTCTCAGAACTTTTTCATTCCGTCTGAAGGCCAGTTACAGTACCAACTCGCAAAGCAAACAAACTGTACAGGTTCTGCCAATTACTAGTCGTGATTGTAAACATTGAAGTTAGTCGATTCATCATTCACCTAACTAGTGTATGACTTTATTTGATACACAGTGCACAGAAGTCAATCCACACAACGGTTCAAAAGAAGGTAAGCTGTTACATATGTAACGTAATATAGCCGAGTACATCCGCATAGTCAGTACTTTCAAGCAAACTATTCGACAGTTATGTATCGAGATCCTGACATATGATGGAAGAGCTAATTAAGATAGTAGTATGACGGTTTTAAGCAAACAAATTTAGAAATATGGCATTCAAAAAACTTATAGCAATTAGATGATGACCATGAAGATTTTTTTACTATCTTACTGAGAATGAATATAACATAAAAGCAAAAGAGCATGTATATGTGTCATAGTAATATGACAATGCGCACATCTGAGTGAATTGGCGAACTACCGAGTCACAATATTCCCTTCTACGTATTGCATAGATATATTCTTTGAAGTTGGACCGTGAGTTGGTGATCTGATACTCGAATCTATCTCTAACTATCGCATTTGAAAAACAACGAGAGCTATCGTTTTTTACATAGAAGATATAACTCGTGTGTCATTTATTGCCAAATTACTTTAATGTTATTTCTTCAGAAGAAATCGGACTATAATCTTATGAAGTGTATCTTTGATCAAGCTTAAACATCCCACGGGGAATTTTTGCAAGACAAATGTCACAAAATCGTTGGACCTCGAAGTGCTATTGTGTTATTTTGAACACAAAATTACTTATGTAATACAACACAAACACTTTGTTGTCGGGTTTTGATGGATTTATTAGACTGAAAAACAAATACCAGATGGATATTTTGCATTCTAGTCATGTGCATAACAAACTTAAAATATAAAGTCAAGAAGTGTTATATTATGTATGCGTTCAATTGCAGACGTTACTTAGCAGTCCAAAGGCCTAACTCCTGGAAATATCGGAATTTGAAAAATCTAATTCTGCATAAAGAAGTCGTCGGCAGAATGTTTTCTTGATAAAGGTTATGGATGTAAGCGTAAACAATAGTGCTGAAGCGTTTATACTTTTAAGTGGGTAAACATTACCCTACAAGCTCTATTAATACTTCCCGGTTCGTATCCGAGTCATCTGATAAGGCATTTTCTGCCAATGAAGTGGGTAGTCGAAGGTAATCTAGGCGTAAAACACCTCACGACCATCTTAAAGAAAACGAAAAGAATAAACAACGCTTAAATTTATGACATCCTTAGGCCGTGGGAAATCAATAACGCTAAGTCCTAATTCCTTCGTTTCATGTGACAGAAGCAACAGAAAACTGGGTGATGAGCACTGTGTGTCTTCATTTGTGTTCCATATGTTAGTGGTTTCTGTAAAGAGAATGTGAGGTAAATATAAAGTAATCATGTTGTTACGAAATGCCAAGAACTAAGAAGTCTATTATTGGACAGTTTTAATGGTACTCGTGGCTTTTGGACCTCAACGACACTTCGGAAGCAAAGGCTGCTAAACGAAAGCAATGGGATTAAATTGATTCATATTTAATGTTTACACAAGAAATACAAAGAATGCCATATATAGCGTGGTTGCTAAAACTGTGTTAACATGCTCGTGCTTTTTTATAATGGAAGCTGATCTAGGGACGGAACCCTTACATATCAAGACTCAGTAGTTCAGATGAACTCCGTCCATGAATGTTATCTGGACTGCCAAACCGGTGTTCGTGCTGTTTAACACGTCACTGATACAATCTAAGTCTCTAAGAGACTGGAAAAATGCCATCATTAGTGAATTAAGTAGTTTCTGGACTGGTAAAGTGGTGATGGGTTGCATCTAAGACTACTTTAGATAAGACTATGACCACCACTACTATAGAAAATAGAGAATTCTGATTATTAGTGTCTTATAATCACCACAACCGATGAAGAGTGGTATTCTTCGCGGTACAACTCTAAACTCTGTTCTCTTTTTAATTTATGTACATGAGATACCTTTGACAATTAAATTGTCATGCGCCATACTAGATAATGACAACAGGCTTTGGTGAGCTGTAGAAAAAGATAATGATCAACTTCATTTGAAAAATCTAGGTCTGTTGCCTGTGCAGTGGAACCACCGACATTCATTGGACTAAAGCCTATCATCCCTAATAGTATGTACGCTATAAAGTGAACAGAACGCATACGAGACAATTATAAACATATAAGATCCATTTAGAAGAGACTATAAAATTCTACAGAAACTCTTCAGGCTTCAATGTCTTAGATATTTGCTAAACGACAGAAAAAACACAACGAAAACGATAACTAAATAACCCTTACCTTGAGTCCCTGTTCCTCCAACTGAGACATACTCTGGCGTTCAGCATTATCCTTAATTTCGATGCGCTTTTGAAAAGATGCAGCCCATCGTCTGATGCATTCAGGTTCTTCAACTGTCTGGGGAGTTTCAGGACCTGCTTTTTTACCTAATTCCACTATGACATTTTAGCTAGAAAACAAACCTTCATCTGAGAAGTTTAGATCGTCTTCGAGCCCTCGTAGCTCCTCCCGTTCTCTCACAAAGAAATCATTCAGAGCAGCCTCAGCTGACATTTGATACGCCACTATAACTCGCTGACCTTGAGGTCATTACACATTTAGCTTCGCAAAAGCAGTTAGGGATGATAAGCTATTTAAATGCCCAATACATTTGGAGACAGTTGGAAGTCACTGACAAATCCATTAGCTCTATTATCTTCGCTTGACAAAGTAGATGGAGGCACATTGGTTTAACTGACAGATTTTATATATGCATGGATAATAAAGCTATTGGAATAGGTTAGACAGCTCTAGGAGCCAGCAAAAAAGGGGTTTGACTTCTGCACATTTAATAACCCCCTTGTTGGAGTAAGATATAAAGGTAACAGGAAACTGTTGCGAATGCTGTGCAACATTATGGAGGAAATCACGACGACAGTAAGATAAATGTGTGTTTGCTATTCAAAATCTACAAAATTACGAGTGAACTAGTACTTGGACACAGTCTTTCTAATATACTTAGATAACCCAGCAACATGTTTTATACTGTCAGACAGGAAATCTTTCTGTCCGCTAGATGAAAGTGTCTGGGAAGGGAATCTGTGCACACACTTTGGGCCAGGAGAACTGGTAAGAAAATGAATGACTTTCTGAATTCATTAAGAAGCTGTCGGAGGAGAGGAAGATCATGAAGAGGAAGACGAACAAGTAAGGACACTAAGAAAATAAACAGAGGCTGGGTACAAACTTCAGCCCACTGAATAAGGGTGTGAAGTAGAGTGCTGGAAAGGATATGAAACTCAATAACGACTCACTGGCCGCCGAAGCAATACAGACTGCAGGTAGGAGACCCAAGTAATTACCTGATCCATATCTGGGAAAAGGTGATTGCAGGTAAGGTTTTATTGCCAAAAAGTGAGAGAAACAAGGCATCGTGTCGGTCACTTCACAGGACTATTGAATTGACTTCCCCTACACTTCATCCCGAAATGCGACCACCATACCCTTACCTATCAGTGAAGCCCCAGAAAATGAGAAGTGGGCTAAAAGGTAGCGAATGCAGTGAAATCTTCAGAACTAAATGGAATCCTTCCGGATGACATAACAGGAACACACATTCCATTACTGTATGTGTGTGAGTAAAGAAATTTACTTGCAGATTTGAAGAAAAGATAACCCATCAAGCTACCAAAGAATGGCCCTTGCATCTTTGATGCCAAACAGTCGGTAAACTAGCGGGCCAGCACGTGATGGCGACCAACGTCGCTGGCGAAGCACTTCCATGTCGCCTCTTCTATGTTACTGACCGCAACACTGGGACAGGCTTAAGGTTAACACTGGGGCGGAGGCCAGTGTGATTCCACCCACAACCGAAGAGCACCTGCCGCCAGTATCCTTACACCTCCACGTCACAAATGGTTCGCCTATCACAATGCGTGGCAGAGGGTTTCTGGATTTCAACATTGGCTTACGTCGCTCATTTCGTTGGGTTTTCATTGTGGCAGATTTTACCATCGGTATCATTGGAATGCATCTTTTGCAGCAATATCAGTTCCCTGTAGGTGCTGACAAACACAAGTTGATCGATTCATCCTTATGGCCATCAGTCTGCGTTAGTGTCACGCACAAATTCTCTCTGAACCCAGTGCACCCAATACCTGCCACTAATGGCTCATACTCTGACGTCCTCCAGTCTTTCGCCAATTTTTCATACCGGTTTCCGGGCTCCCATGCGTGAATTCCAATGTCACTCATTGCATTATGACGACCGGCCCATCTGTTTTTGCAAAGCCACGGCGGTTATCCCAAAGAAAACTCCAAGTCGTTAAGGACGAATTTGGATATATGTCAGAGATCGGGATAATCTGACCAACTAGCAGTCCGTGGTCTTCACCCCTACAAGTGGTGGCCAAGAATAACGGGCTGGACTGGATACCTTGTGGTGATTACTGCAGTCTCAACACTCAGACTGTTCCAGATCATTAACCTGTCCCACACATACACGATCTGAAGTTTTCTCTAAAAGGTGCTACAGTGTTCAGCAAATGTGACTTGATGACAGCCTACCACCAAATTCCAGTTCACCAAGAGGATTTCCCTAAAACAGCAGTGATCACTACTTTAGCCTCTTCAAATTCCTTTTGAACTCCGCAGTGTCACACAGACGTTACAGCGTTTCATCTACTAAGTCTTGCATAGACTGGATTATGCGCATGCTCATCTTGATGATATCTTCATGGCTAGTCCAGACGAAGCGACTCACCGTTTTCATTTGCAGACGCTTTTTGAGAGACCAACAACATGCTGTTTGACACTCAATATGGATAAGTGGCAGATTAGTGTCCGTTCGCTGACTTTTCTGGGACATGTAATTAATGAACATGGCATCCCCCCTTACCAGAAAAGGTGCAGGCTATTCAAAACTTCCCAGAGCCTTCGTCCCTGAAATCTTTGCCCACATTTCTAGGTATGGCAAGTTATTACCGTCAGTTTGTTCCCCAATTTACGCATATCTTAACTGCACTCACAGAGCCACTTAAAGGTAAGTGCAAGACATTTATCATGACACCAGAGGCTCTGGAAGCGTTTAGAAAAATTAGGAAGGCGATCGCAGACGCAACCATGCTGGTCTATCTGGACGTCAAACTTCTAATCAATATCTCTATTGACGCATCCGACACGGTCATAGAAGCTGTACTATAGCAACAGGTGCGTACCTATTGGGTACCAGTCGCGTTTTTCTCTTAGAAGTTGTCCGCATCCGAAGCAAGGTACATCACTAAAGACTTCTCCTCTTGATTCACTAACCAGTACTCTACCTAGCATGTACGTACAGATTAAGAAACGCAAAGTAAAAAGGCTGGGGACTGGGTAGTGTGTCCTGATGAGAGTTTTATTCTTACACAGACAGAATATCAATTTCAATAAATAAGAATGTCGTACAACTTATCTGGTGCTTCGGCTGGGTAGTAAGCTCAAAGAGTGAGCTGAGTGGTACCACAACAAGGGAGCGAACCATATGTGCACAGTTGTGTCGGCAATCAAGAGATGACATGGCGCGAGAAGTGCGTGAATGCGTTATAACACAAATTCCTACGCTCAAGGTACACTGCAAAGTCGTGCCACAACTGGATCGAAAAGGTATTTCATCACGCTGAAACCAGTGTTGAAGCATACAGTACTCACCACCAACAAAGATTTCCGAATATCCAACATTATTGTTATGCCCGTACTTCTAAATGCTTCGGGGACATAGCTCCCTCTTCGGGCATTTATAGCCGGTTGCTTCAGACTTTCACCGACAACTGCCTATTTCAGCTCGATATTGAAGGTCGAATGGCCAAACGGAAAGGGTAAGCAATAGGACCTAGAGTGAACATAGTGAAAACAGAGGTTAGGAAGATTCCTAGTCAACAGCAACAGAAACAACAACAGACAACAATCAGCATAAATAGGAGAAATATGAAAGGAGCAACCTTCCCCAGTTAATCGCATACTGACCTGGAAATCATAGTTCCAATTACAGGCGGACGGAACTGATGAGGATATTCAAGCAAGGATCGGGAAGGCAAGGTAAGTTTTCATTATTGTAAAGTCTGTGTGGAGATCAACAGCACTACTCAGCATCAAAAACAGGATCCGGATTTTCAACTTCAATGTGAGGTCAGTGCTACTTTAGGGATGAGTAAATTGGTCAGTGCGTCACGGAGGGCACTTCGAACAAACTACAGGCTGTCTTCGTTCAATACTTCGCTCAAGATAAGATGGCCGGTCAGAAAAGATCAGCAATAAGGGGGGATCTCTTGGAGCGAACCGAACCACCAGGAACTGCCTGTGCAAGAAATATGCAGGAATAAATGGAGGTGGATTGGCCACAGTCTGGGAAGACCGTCGAATGACATCATAAGCCAGGCCATTGCTTGATTGGAAACCGGATGGGAAACGGCCATTTTGTCGTCAGTGCGAAGGTGATATGGAGGAGGAGGAGGTCATGTGAAAAGAAGATGCAGGTAGACCTGGAGCCAATGGAAGACGTTGGCGGAGAACCGAAAGCCATGGAGACGTGCGGCTGAAGCTCTATGTCCCCCTAGGAACTAAAGGAAACGATAATAGTAATAATAATAATGATAGTAGCTCCAGGTATTCTGAAACGCTGCAGAATTGGTCCATCCCAAAAGCCGAGTAATAATAAGAGATATTTCTTTCCAAAACAGTACTTATGATGCAGCATGAACTTCCCATCATTTAGTACAATATTGCATGGTACAGTACATGGTATAGGTACACAAAATTGATGACAGCAGCTTTTTGACGTTTACAGTAACAGTAAATTTAGAAGTGTACATAAAGTATAAAATAATAATTTATAAAATTATAAAATAATAGAAATAGTGTTATCACAAACAATAAATGGAAGATCAAAGAGCTATTTATTTTGCTAATTAAATAATAAGATATAGGTTTTACGTTTAACACTTTCTCTATTTCATAGAATGCTAACCAAACAGAGCATCGTTGAGATTCCGTACTTAGTTGTATGAGCATATACCTCTTTATGGTGACCTCTAGTCACGTCTGACGAGATGGAAGGGGAGAGTTGTGAATTAAGAAGGTGCCGAGAGTGAGACAATATGAATTTTGCCAAGTTTTTGCGTGATTCCAGATGTCTGTAGACCACAATAGTAACGACCTGACTTAATACCACACCAGTTGCCCTACTGACAGCCTTTGATGCCCTTCGCAATACACCAAAGTCATTTTCGAGTAACCCAGATAACGCTAAGGGGGGCAATAAAGAAAAAACAGGTAAGATTCTAGAGCTAACAAATCGTAAAATTAGAGGCTGAATGATACCTGAATGTTTTAACTTCTTAATGTAGACGATTAGACGAAGCATTTTCTTGGAAATCAACAGGATGTGGGACGATTAAAAATTGTTTTACTTTGGTTTTTTCTCAGTGTCATCTATGTTACAAGCATCATGTGAATCACGGTTGTTCTTGAAGGTAAAGTCAACTGCTTGAAATCTAAAAGGATTTAATGTAAGACCATTTAACTTGGACCTCTGGTTGATG